GGCTCTGTGTAAATAAAATTAACCACCCCAATTACTTTGAATTCATCTAGGGACAACGTAATAAAAAATGTGAAGAATTCTGTATGCCTATTAATCTAAAACATTACAGAAGCTTTCACCAGATTTTCTTGTCTATATTTATTTTGTCTACATTTATTTTAGTGCACTGCTAATTCAATTACATTTACCATCAGTGGTCAATCAGCAGCAGCAGAGGTGGGGTTTTTTTATTTCATTAATCCTTATACAGTACCACAAACATGCTCATCCATTGGTAAGGTACAGAATCTCATACGGAAAATACAAATATGCTTCTACTTGAATTTGGGAGCTTGCAGTTAATCAGAAAAACAATTAAAAATACTTCATACCCTGTGGTCAGATAACAAAATATCTGATAGTTGCAGGGTTTTTTTCAAATGGTTGTTTTTGCAATTAGTGAAGACATAGTGACCAGAAAAGAGCTAAATTTAGATTAGAAATTTGTAAACTAGGCTTCTTTGTTTTTTATTTTAATTGTATTATGTGATAATTCTGCATTTTAATTGGCACTTGGATATCAAGATGACAGACACCTTAAAATACAATTACAGAAGAATTTGCAATGGAAAAAGACACTGCTAGAAGTAGACACAAAACTATTTTATCCATGACAAGTTAGGCACAACATGGGTAAGTATGATCCTGAAGAAAGCAAGATAACCCTACCCCTATCATTGTTTAATGTCAAGCCATTATAATAGACGGGAATAATAGAAGGGAAATCGATTGTATTAGATCATGTCATTTTTATACTCCATCATACAACTCATTGCTTTTACTTGAACCTCTGCGCCATGTTTTCTCTAAATACTTGCACCAACCGAATTTTTTGCGACAGCATATTTCATACGCTGTATGTTGCAAACCCCCTTCTGTATAGGTAACCCTTACATATAACGAGAGAGGGATAGCAAGCATGCCATCAGCTTAGTCTACGGAGTTCAAGGCACTGAAACACTGATTCCCCTCACAGTTTTGCAATGTACCAGTAAACTACACTTCACCGGAACAAGGTGAAATTACATTTTCATTTTAAGTGCAAAGACCAAGGACTGAAGTTACGCCACCAGTGACATAAATTACAGGATATTAATAAAAGTGTGACTATTCAGATTCAAATGGAAATCAGCAAGCCGGGAATTTTAATAACTTTTATTTTTTCACACATCTTAGAAAAGTGTTTCTAGTCAAATCATGAGCAGCTGGCACTGGAAATGCAAAGCTTCAGCCAGTTCCAAACTCTTTGCCTGGCTGATGAACTTTGAAAATATCAGCTCCCCTTTGGCAAAGAGCCAGATACTTGGCTTCCCCAGCCAAAAAGGCTGTCTTGCAGGGCCGAAAAATGGCAACGCACATGCAGACAAGGACCTGGGCTTTCTTCCCACAGCCCCATTTCCATTAGATGCCCTTTTCCTAATGCAGGGCAGAAGATGCAACGGCAG